CAAGTCAGCTAAACTCTGAAATCAAACGTCTCCGTCTGCAAATGGAGAGAGCATCTATTCTACTGTTTTTTTGTTTTGTTTTGTTTTTGCTTTTTTGGTGGACTAAAAAATAAAACATATTCAAAACCACATAAATTTTTTAAGCTCACAGTAGGCATTTAAACATTTTTTTCCCTGACCTTATCTTGGATTTCCAGGAAATACCATGTGAGAGCTCCCCCGGTCCAAAAGAAAACCACTGAGTAAGGCCTCTGGGTTCAGAAGGAACCAGAACACTAATTCAGCAATGACCCCTAAGTTTTCTGGGTCTAGGAAGCAAAAAAAACTCATCATTTGAACTCTGAAGAAATCCAGAGAACTAATTCTGTGAGTCTAGTTAACCATGGATCATAAAAGCTTCTATAGGAGCAAAAAATTCAAAGCTGAAAAGACAGAGAAGGATTCTCACAGGTGACAACGGGCACACAAAAGCAAGTCCAGACAATAAAGTCATCAACCCATGCACTGCCATGCATTACCTGCAGGGTTCCAGAATCAAACTTTATTACAGTGACAGCTACAGTGGGGAAGTGATCAAATACAATGAAGTGCCACCCCACTATGAGCTAAACAGTTTTTGAATTTGATTCATAATAAAATAAGTTTCTAGGGACATGAGGAAAAAACATTAGAAATTTAGAGAAAATAGGGCCAGGCGTGCTGACTCATGCCTGTAATCCCAGCACTCAGGAGCTGAGGCGGAGATTGCCTGGAGTTTGTGACCAGCCTGGGTTATACAGTGAGACTTTGTCTCAAAAAAAGAAAGAAATTTAAGGAAAATATTTAAAAGATTTAGTTTAGCATAGTGGTACATGTCTATAACCCCACACTCTGGGAGGCTAAGGCAGGAGGTTTATTAAATTCAGCCCATCCTTAACAAAAATCTGTCCAAAAATAGGATGTAGCTCAGTGTGAAGGCTCAAGGTTCAATCCCCAGTATTGGAGGAAGGGGAGATTTAGAAGATTCACTTTATGATTGCAAGTATTTAGAACAGAAGTTCAGAAAAAGACCCTAGATCAAGAATAATCTACTTTAAAGCATGCTACAGAGTAAAACAAAATAGAATTTCCAAATATGTTCTCAACATCTGCTCTATGTTCCTGTGATTTCCTTCCTTAATACAGTCAAGACTTAAAAAAAAAAAAAAAAAGGAACAAATCTGCCTTGCATGCCAACACACTTTTCTGGGTTTATAGTTAATAATAATTGACCTTGGTCTTTCTTCCGACAATTAATGCTTGGTCTTAGAATTCTTGTTCTCACGGTTTTCTAGGCTACCATTATTAGATGACCACAATCCACACCCCCCCAAAAAAAAACCACCACTGAAATCTTTAGTGTAAACCCACATTATCCATATATTTGGATTAAGGTACAGTTGTCCCTCAGTCCACTGGGAAAACTGATACCCTCACAAATATTGAAATCTGTGAATGCTCAAGTCCCTTATACAAAATGATAGTATTTACATGTAACCTGAGCATGGTGAATCCTACCCAAAACTTTTAAGTCATCTCTGGATTACTGATATCTAGTAAACTGTAAAGGCTAAGTAAATAGATGTTATAATGCAGTTTTAAAATGCCTATCTATCTATATATATATTCAGTAGAGACACAACTTTTTCCCAAATACTTTAGATCTTAGTGGATTGAATCCATGGATATGAGGCCTGCAGATGCAAAGGGCTGACTATATTTAGTTCTGGACCACAGTACTCAAGAAGGAAAGCCATCCCATGGTCAGGGTAAAAGGTAAGCAGAGCTGTTGGAATCATCTATGATGATCAATCAGTGTTGTGGTTTGGGTGTGGATGTCTCCCCGCAAAGTCTTACACAGGCGAGTAAGTCACAGGGGGCTTTTTCAAGAGGTGGCTGAATCTAGAGTGTGATGCTGGGATTAAGAGCATTGTGATTGCTAAAACACTACACTGATTGGTTTGGCACTGCCCTAATCCCAATAGTCTGGATAAAAGGGGCAGAAAGATGCTGTAAGGTTCCCTTGTTGCTTTTGCTATCTTGTGGCACTATGAACTGTGTCTCCTGTGACGCCACCCAATTACAGACTGAAACTTCTATAAACTGTGAACTAAATAAACCCTTTCCCCTTTAATTTTGGGTACTGGGTATTTTGTCTCAGCAATGAAAGAATGTAACTAACACAAACAGGAATAAAAAAATTTAAAAAGGTAGCATTAACCAGAGGAAAAAGTGGAAACCACCAAGCTTTCTAAACCACTTACCAGAAGAAATTTACTCGCACTGCTTTAACACATAACTACTGTATGGAGTCTAAAAGATTATCAGCAGAAAGACAGGCTGAACAATGAAATTAAAATGAAAAGTCTTGCCAATTTTCTACAACCATAGAGATGTAATTAAGGTTTCTATGTTTCACACAGTTACCCTAAAGTTCTAAACATACATTTATTGACACAAAGAATCTTACAATTGTCAAACATCACTCATTTACCAAATAAAATAATAAAAAGGAATTTAATTTTTAAAAAACTTTTATTACAAGGTGCCTATATAAATATACCAGAATGCCACAAATAGGTTTGTGATTGGAATAAAATAAAGACACTAAACTGAGCTGGGTGTGGTGGCACACATCTGTAATTCTTGCACTCAGGAGGCTGAGGCAGGAAGATCACAAGCTCAAGGTCAGTCTGGACTTTGTAGTGAGACCCTGTCTCAAAAAACAAAATAAAACAAAAAGGTGCTATCTTTGTATGTTCATTAACACCAAATGGGGCTCAGACGTAATAAGGTAGAAATGCACATTTCAAAAGACAATGTTCATAATGATCCAGGTTTTTGTTTTAAAAACTCTAAAGGCATAAAAATCATTAGTTAACAAATCCCAAAAATATCTACTGAACCTAAAAAAATTCAGAAACATTGCAGGACATAAGATCAACATATAATGTAACAATGAAGCATGCAAAAAGGAAATTAAGAAAACATTCCTGTTATGGTTTAGTTTGAGAACATTCCCCCAAAGCATCATGCACTGGATCACGAGGGCACTATACTCACAGGTGGATTCATCCACCGCTGAGTTCAGTGGCTGAGTGTGCTGTTAGGAGATGGGGCCTGGTCACAAGAGGTGGGTGACCTCCCTGCCTCTTGCCTTTTCTCTCCACTTCCTGGCCACCATGCATGTGAGCAGGTTTTCCACTGCTATGCCCCTCTGCTATTCCATTTCTGCCTTGGAGCCAGTGGACTGTGGACTGAAAATGTGAGTCAAAATAAACCTCTCCCCTTTTAAACTGTGAGAGTTGGGTACTGTGTCTCAGTGAGAAGTGGCTAAAACAGTTCAATTCATAATAGAAAATAATAAGAATAAATTAAACCAAAGAAGTATAACACATATACTGAAAACGATAGGATTTTGCTAAAAGAAATTACAGTATAATTAATACATAGAAATATATTGACAACCATGAATTGGAAGTCTTCTTGGAGTTTTTTAGATATCATAAAAATGACAATACTTCCCAAAGTTACCTACAGATTCATTAATCCCTATCAAAATCCCAATAGACTTTTTTGCAAAAATAGAAAAGATGATCCTAAAATACTCATGGAAATACAAGGGATCCCAAATAACCAAAACAACCTTTAAAAAAGATCAAAAATGGAAAACTCACATTCCTCAATTTCAAAACCTACTATAAACTACAATAATTAAAACAATGTACTGGCTGAAGAACAAACAGGTTAATGAAGTAGAACAGGAAGTCCAGAAATAACCCGTACATCTAGGTTCAAATGACTTTTGACACAGTTACCAAAACCACCCTTTAATAAATAGTCCTTAGAGAACTGGATAGCCACATGCAGAAGAATGAAAACACCTTTACTGTAACAAAAACTGACTTAAAACAATAATTACCTAATTATAAGAAATAATAAAAATATAAAATTCTTAGAAAAAGTACAGTAAATATCCATGACTTTGGCAATGATTGCTAGATATGACATCGAAAGCACAAGCAATAAAAAAACCAGAAAATTTAAGCTTCAAAAATAAATGCTTCTGGAGCCAGGGATTTAGCTCAGTGGTTCTGCTGCCTGCCTCACAAGAACAAAGTCCTGCGTTCAGCCCCCGGTACCAAAAATAAAAAAATAAAAAAGTAAATGCTTCTGCACATCAAAAGAGACTATCAAGAGAATAATAAAAACCTAAATCTAGAAATTCCAGTTGACCCAGCCATTTCCCTTCTAAGTATCTTCCTGAAAAAGTTGAAGACATCATATTACAGTGATACATGCATACCTTTGTCTATAGCAACACAATTCATAATAGCTAAATCTTGGAAGAGCCTCTATGTCCATCAACAGATGAATGCATAAAGAAAATGTGTGTTTTTTCACATAATGCACTACTACTATGCCATAAAGAATAAGCTTGAGTCATCTATAGAAAAATGCATGCACCTTGAGGACCTAACGTTAAATGACATAAATGAGACACCATGAAATATCACATGGTTTCTCTTATATGAAAAACCAGAAATAAAAATAAAGAGCAAAATAAATAGGAAGTAAGGAGACAGATCCTTCTCAAATGAGAAGAGAATGAAGAGACAGAGGAAGGTGGAAGGAAGAGAAAGGGAAGGGCATGAAAAAAGGAATTAAGATGTGTGATGTGCACATGCCAACTCCTCACAGGGAATGTAATCATTATGTGCTGCCAACATGTACTGATAAAAAAATTTTTCAAAAAACCACACAAAATGGGAGAAAAAATTTGCAAATGATTCAGATATTAATAAGAACCTAAACTCAACAAAAAGGAAAACAACTTGTTTTAAAAGGGCAAAACAGTGAATAATAGACACTTCACCAATGAGATAAACAAATGACCAACAAGCACATGAAAAGATGCTTACTATCATTAGCCATCAGAAAAGTGCAAGTCAAAAACCACAGGAAGAATGCCAGGGCCAGGCATGGTGGTGAACATCTTAGCCTCAGAACTCTTGAAGTTGAGGTAAGAAAACTGCTGTTAGTTCAAGGCCAGCCTGGGCTGCATAGTGTGTTTAAGGTCAGCCTGAACTACAAAGCAAGACTGTCACCAAAAAAAAAAGACTGCCAGGCATCGTGGCACAAGCCTATAATCACCACACTCAGAAGGCTGAAGTGGGAGGACTTCTGTGAGTTCAGCCAGCCTGGGCTACAGTGTTCAAGGCCAGCCTGAACAACACAGCAAGACCCAGTCTAAAACAAAGCAAACAAATGCACAATAAGATACCATTTCACATCCCCAATACTAGCTATTATCAAAAATTGAAAATAGAGCCAGGCGTGGTGGCACATGCCTGTAATCCCAGCACTCGGGAGGCTGAGGCAGGAGGATCACTGTGAGTTCAAGACCAGCCTGGCCTAAATAGTGAGTTCCAGGTCAGTCTCAACTACATAGTGAGACCCTGTCTCAAAAAACCAAAAAAATGAAAATAATGAGCACTAGCAAGGCTGTGGAGAAAATGGAATCCTCATGCATTGCTGGTGGAAATGTAAAAGAGTGTAATTACTATGGAAAATGATGCAGCAGATCCTAAAATAGTTATACACAGAAATACTGTATGATCAAGTAATTCCACTCTTAGGTAAATACTCAAAATATCTTGCAAATGGATGCAAGTATTGAAAAATTACAGGTACCCAATTAATATGTTCAATTTTTATTTATCAATTAAAATATAAAAATAAAATTCAACTTTTAAAAATATTAAAAATGGGTAGTCAAGCTCTTTGGTCTCAGCAGCAGAAGTGAGACAACAAAGGGAGCCTCATCTTTTGGAAAGGGCTGTCATAAGCCACATATACGGTGCCACTACTGTGCCTCTAAGGCCCAGCACCTTCGGAAGTCAACCTGTAGAAAATGTGGCTACCCTGCCAAGCACAAGAGAAAGTGTAACTGGAGTGTGAAGGCTAAAAGATGTATGAAATACCACCAGGCAATGAGGCTCTTAAAAATCAGACACTGCAGATTCAGGCATGGTTTTTATGAAGGAACAATACCTAAACCTAAGAGAGCAGCTGTCGTAGCATCCAGGTCATCCTGAGAATTTCAGCCATTACTCAAAATAAATATTTTGTTTGAAAGAAAGAAACAGCAGGAGGGAAGGAAGGAGAGAAAGAAAGAAGGAAGATGGAGAGATGGGGGCAGGGAGAAGGAAGAGAGGGAGGGAAGGAGGGACGGAAATTGGGTATTCAAATCTGTGAACACAAATGTTCACAGCAGCACTATTCATAATATCCCAAAGGTAGAAGTTAGCCAAACTTTCATCAAGTGATGAATGGATAAACAAAATGTGGTTAGGGATATTATCCATACAGCCTTAAAAAGGAATAAAGTACTAATACACATACAGAATGTCCTAGTAGGGTGATTGGGGGGGTTGCTCTGAGCTGCATCTCCACCCCTTTTCTTTTTCTTTTATTTTACATTTGAGACACAGTCTCACTAAGTTGCCCAAGCTCGGCTTAAACTTTCAATCCTCCTGCCTCAGCCTCCCCAAATATTGGGATTACAGGCATGCACCACCACTCCTGGCTTGGATTGATTAAAATATCATGGAATGAGAGGTGATGGTTACACAATTATTATGAACATATGAAATGCTATTTAGAATGGTTTATGGATACAGTAATTTCATATAATAGGAATTATAACTCAATAAAAATACAAAAAAGTCTAAAACCCTAGCATATTTTAAATAAATTTATTTTCTCTTCAGAAACCACATGGGTTATTGAACAGATTCAAAGCTATATTTCATCATAACATCTTTTTATAAAGTTATTCTCCAAAATACATTTCGGAAAAATATTCACAGAATGCTCTATTTCTTACCAGCAGACTCTTGTTCATTCTGTTTTTCATAGAGGGTGCCCACAGACATCAGGAAAACAATAACCAAGAATACTGGAATTCTCCACGAGCCAGCCAGGGATGCTGAAAATCATTAACAATTAACATTTTTTAGCAAAATGAAAACCTAGCACTTGTTTTTAAAACACTTGCTTTTTCTAGACTAACAGAATAATTTGGTATACATACTAATTTCAAAATTATTACAGGAAAAAAAAGTTTTGAAAATGTCATCAAGCAGATCTCACTGTTGAAGTGGGGGTGGAGAGGTGGTGCTGAGTATTGAACCCAGGGCTTTGCACATGCTAGGCAAGCACTCTACCACTGAGCTATATCTGTAGCCCTCAATTCGGGGATTCTTGACACAAGTTCATCCTTGCTCAAACTGCATTCTAAAAGATCATGCACACGCCAGCCTGTCCTTAACAGGTCTGTATCACCTAATGAATCCAGTCCCAGACTAAAAGCATATGCCAAATTTAAGACCATTCTAAACCCAAACTACCCATTAGACCCCAGAATGTGCAGAATCAAGCACAAATCCTAAAGTCATGGAGCCTGACTTGGTTTTCTGAGTATACCACTGGGCATGAACAATCTCTAGAAAAAGGACCCAATGCCCAAGAGAGCACAGCAAAAGCTCCAATGTATGCTCCTCAGAATGCAGTATAAATGAAATTAACCAATCATCAAGGACTAGGTCTCCATCCTAACCATTTGAATTTCCAGGTCAGTCAGGAACTTTGTGGACTGCCTGTCTCCTGCCTCTGCCTTCCCCAAATTCAAAATGAGTCACATGAGATCTTGAAGATAAACTCTAGCATATCAACTCAACAAAGTTAGAAAATACTTTGTTCAACACCAGACTCTAAGCAGAGACATTTTTAGTGTCTTATATATTTTTTATTTATAATAAGTAGCTCTAAAACTACCTTAGGCTATCTACTACTCCGTTACTGAATTTTGCTTTTAAATTTAAATTCTCTATTTTCCTATAA